AAAAAAGAAAAAAAACCAAAACACCTACATAAAAGGGTGGATAAAATCAAGTCACTCACTTGGTATGGTTTATGACTTTTTTAGTGAAGCAACAATTAGGACTTTCCATTTCTGGAGCAGCTACTGTGGCCACTCTTGAGCATTTTATACTTGATATCCTGATTTCTCACAATATCCCCAAAGGATTAGAGTTATTCTCCCCCATTTAAAGATGAGGAACGTGTAGACCAAATGTGGTACAGCGGGTGAGTCTCAGGGCGGGGAGTCACTCTTGTCCATAGAGCTCATGCCTTTTTTGTGTGTCACGCCCGCCTACCACTTCCTAATCACACTTCCCGAAATTTTTATCAGTAACAAGATTATTATGAACCGACATGTGCATATCAAGCAAAGCAAATGCAAAGTGATCCCCAATAACCCCGCTCTAATGCTCGTATACTCTCCCCAAACACTCCCATTTCCCCTCACGACGCACATCATCAGTCGCTGACATTGCCAAAGCCAACCAAGAGAAAAGGAAGCCATCAAACTGAAATGCTAATAGTCATTTCTGGATAGATTTTCCAGCTGCTCCTTTTGAATCTACTATGTAGAGAGCCTAGTTAATAGATGCCTTAAGTGACATCCAGCCTAATCTTAGCTGGTCCTGTTTACTAACTTCTCTTTTTTGCCCCATGGAGACTCTCTAGATGGATCTTTCATTTGAATCCTCTAGGGAAACACAGCGCATACTTGAAATCCCATCAACTTTCCCAAATTGTTCACAACCAAAGGAGCCAAAAGCTTCCAACCACTGTTCCCCTCCTTTTGATTCTGTGCAGAGCCATCACATATGTTTTGAATGACCACTTATTCTAAAAGACCCTAAAAGGCAAAACAGAGCTCCTACGAATACAAACATTTTGGAGGCCCCAGGCATTCCTTTTAAAATTACTTTTGTCAAGAGAAAGCTTCAAGTTACTCTGAAATTTCACACTCCTAGACTGCTGCTTAACAAGACTTTTCACTCAAGGGGTCTTGGCAAGTCATTTCCCTCTCAGTTTACAGAGCTCCTGTTGCCCCCACAGGGGAGTGGGCTATGGTCATCTGTGGTTCCCAAAAGACTCATGCTCTAGAATAGACTGAATCTTTTATTAATAAAACGTCTATTTTGCCAATCCAGCATTTGGTATTCTCTCCATGTAATGCTTTGCAATGCAGCATCCATCCGAAAAACCATTAAACAGTGCGGCTAGTGCTTATACAACACAATTTAATGTCCCAGCAAGAACTAGTGGTTTGTTACACACATTATGCACCATTGTAATGGATCTTTCTAGATTTTAAATGTGTGGAGGGCAAAAAGTCACAATATTAGCACTAGACTATGAATTCTTTGTACTACCAAGCCAGAGCCTAAAGTCTAGGGATGGATAGCTACACAATAAAAGTTTATGAAAGAAATGGCATAATTTGTGTTAAATATGTCTGTGTTTGTAATGGATTCAATAATTTTCAAATGCTAAAATTTAGAGATTTGAAGGGAGGAGTGCTGGAAGAGAAGAAAATGTTTTACCTCTGCTGTGGCCAAGCATCACCCATTCATTTCACAAGCCTTCCTGTTTCCTTAGTGTTCTTGGTCACAAGCAACAGAAAGATTCTAGTTGATAGGAGCAGAAAAGGCATGAACTGAAGGTGTATTCACAGAAGAGCTGAGAAGGCTAGAGAAGGAGGCTTGGACCATGGGCAGGACCAAAGGTGAGCTGCCAGCCTGAAAGAATTTTCAGATGCGTGTCTTCAAGATCCTTGGCAGGTGCTCATGCCTGACTGAGCCCAGATTGCACACCATATTGTAGCTTCTAGGGAATCTGGGGAAGCAAGTGTCTGGCATTTCCCAGCTTCTATGGTAAGAGGTGGCTCTGTCACTATGGCTTGTAAAACGGGAATTCCCCAGAGATGGAAAGGGGTTCACAAATTAGGCAACCAAAAAATATGAAAGAAGCTGCTCCACTTCCACCTGGACAAAACCCCAGCATTCTGAATCTCTTCTTCCCTTTGACTTTTTGCCATATCTGCCTTGGCAGTCCTCAACACTGACTAAACCCACAACCCCTGTGTATCATGGGTCTCAGGTGCTTAAAAACCACTGAGGAAGTACACACAATTGGTCATGAGTCTTTTGTCTACTCCTAGTAAACGCAGTACAATGGTTTTAATCCCGTCCCTAACCCCTACCTCACCCCATAGGAATTTGTTTCTGTACATGTTCAGGGAAATGTACTCCAGGCAATTTTGATGCAGACTTCTGGGTGGGAACCATGTCTTAATTTTTGCAATTTTCCACAGCCTCTCTACAAACCATTTCTGTTTTTCTGAAGTCCTTCACCCCCACCCCATTAATCTCAACCAATGATCCCTAAATGGGAAAATAAACCTACCTGATGTACACTCCCTCAACTTTTCTGTCCTTCAACTCAAAATTTCTTCTAATCTCTACCCATTCCATCCTCCTGCCCTGCTTAATTTCTCCTTCTTTCCAAGGCTAAATTGGCTACCAGTCCATGGTCTAATCTGAGACTTAATACTTATCTCCCCTTTGACTGTGTCTTTGGCCTCACTTCCCTGATGCCAAAATTCTCTTCATTCCGGAAACATTTCAAGTCTTATCTGACCTAACGACTCTTCAATTTGACCCTGCTTCCCATAAACCACCTTCCCATTCCACCAACCACCTTCGTCTTTTGCATCCAAAGGAGTGGTCTATACTCATGAAGACTTTCCCTTCACCTTTCATTCATTCTCAACTCCCTGTAATCACTTCCAGCCTGACTTTACACACACACACACACACACACACACACACACACACACACACACACGGGTCTCCCAATGCCACTCTAGCTTCCTGACTGCTCAAGCCAATGACCCCTTCTTAGTCTGCATCCTTCTTGATCTCTCAGAAGCATCTGACCCTTTCAAAAACCCCTTTCCTCCTATTGTGGCTTTTGATACAATCATCCCTCCTGATATTTCCTTCTATTTCTCAGCTGACACTTTCTCAGACTCCTTTGCTGGGCTTTCTCCTCTTCTTGCTCTTTTTTTTTTTTCTCACTCTGGCCATTCTCATGTCTTAGCTATCATCTCAAAATAGATGATGCTCAAAAATATGTCCGCAATCCTGATTCCTCTTTCCTGCGATTCGGAGTTTTCCAACTGGTCATTTCCAATGGGTGCCCAGGCTGTTCTCCCACCCCTTCTCATGACTCCTTTGAAAAACTTTGTGTGTGTGTGTGTGTGTGTGTGTGTGTGTGGTAAAATATACATGGCATAAAATTTACCATTTACACAACTTTCAAGTGTACAGCTTGGTGACATTAAGTCCATTTACAACGTTGTGCTCCTCTATTCCTTTTTAATGTCTATATAGCTGTGGCAAGGGAAGGCCATTTCCTGTTCATTACTTTTAATTACAGGGGCCTGCCCTACCTCTCTCTCAGTGGCCGAGCCTGGTGCTGAGGGGTGGAAGAGCATGGGCTCTGGAAGAATCTGCTCTGAGTTTAAATCTCAGCTTTATGACTCTGGCTGAGGCTCTCAACCTCATGGGTCTCACTTTTCCCATCTTGCTATTCTCTCCTGTTGTTGGGTACACAGTCACTCCGCTGAAGCAAGAACAGCTTGGTTTATTTGTGAGCAAACACCCTGGTAAGAACTTGACCTGTGGGAACTGGTGCCGGAAGTGAGGAGAAAATGGAGTGTGTGAAGAAAGGGATAGATCTTGGCCAGAAAGTAGGAGTTCTGGATGTATTGGAGTGGGATGTCCAATCTGGCATTGGCTTGGATTTATGACACAAATAGCTCCACCCACACCCCTCTTATGAAAAGGAAGAGAAAACAATCCATCAGGTTTTGGTGACTACTTCGGTCTTCTTCGGGCCAGTAGTAATTGCTCATCAAGTGACAGGTAAAACCTCTGTGAAAGTTAAAAAGGCAATTTAGTCGAATTGCAAGAATTTGCCCAGGAAAGAGGTGATTTGGGGGAAATGTGCTGTGCATACCTTTTAAAATGCCTTTGGAGTCCTGCGTTTATAGAATTATCAAGGGTCTGAAGAGGTTAGGTTGTTATCACGGCATTTTATGGGGCCGAGTTTCCCTACGAGGAGTTCCAGCAAGTCCCCGCGGAAGGTTCCGAGGTCTCTCGTTCGCACGTAGCATCTGTTTCCTCTTGGACTGGGTCTTCCCCGCTCCCACGTGCAGCCCAGCCCGGCGCCGCTCACGGAAGATGCACTTCGGTTGCCCTGAAAGAACAGGTGGAGCGTTTTGGTGCCCAGGTCCCGCTTCTCCTCTCGGGCCTGTAGGGAAGACTCGGGGGGAGGGGAGGGGGGCACGGGATGGGGATAGGGACAGATGGCCCTTTGCCAAGCACCCTTCTACATTATAGCTCGTTCCGTTTCTCAGATGGGGAGACTGAGGTCAGAGTGGGTAGGCGCGTGGCCTGCGAGTCCCTGCTGGCCTGCGCGGAGGCTCCAAGGGCGCGCCCCCGGAGCCCAGCGCTTGGCCGCACATTGGGGTGCCCTGCGAGGAGCCCTGCGCTGCCCCCCGAGGCCCGCGCGCGAGGCCGCCCTTCCCCGCCCGGTGCCCCCGCGGGGCCCGCCGTGCGCCCCCGGTGCCCGCCCGCCGCGCGCTCCCCGCCGGGGGTGGGGGTGGGGGCGGCGGCCGCGGGTCCCCCCAGCCCGGGGGCGGAGCGAGGCGCCGAGACGTCAGGGCGGAGGAGCGGCGCGGGCGGGCGCGGGCGGGCGCGGGGCGGGCGCGGGCGGGCGCGCCCTCCCGGCGGCCGCCCGCGGCCCACGTCCCCGCCTGGCGCGGCCGCCGCGGCCCGGAGCTGCAGTCGGCGGCGGGGCGCGCGGGGGCCCGAGCTGAGCCGCGGGAGCCGGCCGTGCGCGCAGCTCCGCCCGCCTCCCCCGAGCGAGCGGCCCCCCGGGGCGGCCCCCACCCCGACCCCCACCCCCACCCCCACCCCCACCCCGGGGCGCCCATCCGTCTCCCTGGCTGACTCCAGCGTGTGTTTTGTTTTTCTTTCTTTTCCACCCCCCGTCCCCGGGTGCCTTGCTCCAGGATGGCAGAGGCGGAGTTGCACAAGGAAAGGCTGCAAGCCATAGCAGTAAGTCCGCTTCCAATTTTATTTTCTTGCTCTATTGTCTGGGAGGGAAGGGGACCCCGGGGGGTTTCGGGGGCCCTGGACGTTCCAGCGCAAGCAGCCGCAGGGCGTGCATGGGTCCCTGCGGGCACCGAAGTCGCCGAGGCTCAGCTGCGCTGCTTTTTCTTAGGCGACAGGCTGTGGGTGGAAGCCCCCGCCCGGGGCGCGCTTCGGGCTGCGGACCTGGGTGTGAAGACCGGCTTGCAAAGGAGATGCTTGCTACTGGGCTTTGGGAAAAGACCGGACGCGTGGGGGTGGGGGTGCGGTGGGGGTGGGGGCGATTCCGGGGCGATCGTGCCCCCGCGGTCCGGGCTGCCCTGGCTGCACCCTGGCTGCACCCACGGGAGGGAGCGGGGGCTGCCACCCTTCCTGCGGAAGCTGCCCGTCCCCTAAGTGGGGACCCAGCTTTCCCGCGCCGTCCACCCTGCTCCCTGAAACCCGGGGTCTTCATTTCCCCCTGTTGCATTGGGGGTTTGGCACGAGCCTCCACCCCGGAGGGGCCCGGGCACTTCTTCCAGCCGCCTGGCCCTGGGCGCACCTAATATTCCAACAGAGCATCCCTCTCCCCGGGCTGGACGACCTGAAACCTGTTTGCAGCGTACAGAGGAGCAACCGGGTTTGGCAAAGTTCACGCGCACTTGGAGAAAAGTGTACCCTTGTGCATCTCGGGTAAAAGAGAGAACTTTCTGGGCCTCTGTAGGTTTGAGCAATCTTGCCACAGTGTTGCCAATGATCTACAGATGTGGTATTTTTACTGGAGCCACCGCAGCTGGATTATATATTTCCTTTGCAGATGAGGGAATGATTACTGCTGCTGTATGAAATAATAACAATTAAAAGAGAAGGTCTGTTAACCTATTGGCATAAAAGAATCTCCAGACGTTCTTCTACCTAAGCACTTTATTTTTTTTTTTTATGATCCAGGAGTTCTCTGGAAACACATATAAATTTGTCGGAGGAGTAGTGTGTCATGTTTTGGAAGCAAAGCCTATTAAAGTGTTTTCAGAATCCTTTGGACAGATTCTTCATAGGGAAAGTGCATACGGGCCCTTCTTTTTAAAAGAAGCATTTGGTATGGTTCCCGTGGCACCGAGACCCTCTTTATCAATGTCTTCACATTTTAAATATCTTGGGAACTTGACCACTGAAGTGAGAGGGACATTTGTTGGCAGAAATGCTATGGTTGTTTTTTTTTTTTTTTTTTTTTTTGCCGGTTGGGCAATCTTTGAACTTGGTACTTCAGAACTCAGGAAGGCTGTTTTTTTTTTTTTTTTTTTTTTCGATTTTTTTGTCTTTTCCCTTCCCCTCTGTGAATGTGTATTTTGATGGTTAATGACGTGGTTTATGGTTTCTAAAGCTAGTGGCAAGGAGTGTGGCCAGTGTGTCATGAACTTGGTAAGAATGGAGATATTCAGTTCTTGGTGCCATGTAGCTGGTGGGTGTTTTATATAAACTGAAGAATAGGCTGCTTTAAGCGTCTGTAAGTGGCTATTCCAGAGAACGTTCAGTTGCTGCCATAGACCGTGTGAAGGTTTCCAACAGTTGTCACATTTTCTGCCTTTGCGTGAGCAGCTTTCACTGGACGCCTGAGGGACAGCTGAGGCTTATGAAAGGACTTGTTCTCTGAATGGGGAGCCAGTAGCAGCTAACAGTAGGGCCACCCCTTTCCAGATGGGCTGCGGTAATCTCAGCAGGGGCCAAGTGGACTTTCCAGAAAGATCAAGCCAGTCTCTTGGAATTCTCTTGAGTGTGTGATAAGCCTAAACACAAATACCTGTGCCTATTCAGTTGTGGAATTGAATTTGTCCTGGACCTGGGAAGATGCTGATGATTCTCATGACATATCAGCCTCAATTAATAGATGTGCTGTTATTGGTTTGGATACACTAACAATGAAATGACTCGTGTGTGTGTGTGTGTGTGTGTGTGTGTGTGTGTGTGACAGAGAGAGGGGGGGGGGTGGGGGAGAGAGAGAAAGATTTAAGAAAATGGGAGAGGGCAGAGGGTCTTGTGACCATATCAGTAAATAGTTCTATGCTGTCTGTGCTTTGGCCTAGTGCACACTCTCCAAATTTGGCAGACCCTGCCTCTCTCTGCCATCTTCCTAGAGTTGTCAGGGGACCTGCAGGGGCCCCCAAGCCTCCTTCCAGAGCCTAGCACTCCTGGAGTCTGGAAATGTGAAAGAGGAGGAGAACAAGGCCTTACCTCTTCCCAACTTGGGCTCCTCTCCAAAAGACAGAGCAGATAGAGGAGGATCCTAGTCTGTGGGGTCATGGGCGGTTTTAGTCTGGGCCACTGTTCTTTCATCTGTGTAATGAGCTCATGCATTCTACCTCTGGGCTCCTTGTAAGGTTTAGCGATGATACTGGTGAATTACATGGCATGTGGTCATCATTAGATGGTATTGAGGGACAGACCCCAAGCCCCCAATTTCTGTCTACAGCACTGCCTTGCCCAGTGAGGCTCAGAGACACACCTCTGAAGCATAAAGAGTCTGAATAGCCTTTAAAATGTTTCCCTTTAATTCTAACTAAAGGCCAGGGCTGTGTCTGGCATTTGTTCCTCTGGCGGCTTCATACACGGGTGCAGAGTTGTCACCTGAGCGTTCATCCATTCATTCAGCAGGTGCTTAGAGCCTTCTAGGAAGGTACTATCAACATCCCTAAGTTTCAGCCATCAGAGGAAAGATGTTACCTTCTACATACTTAGGTCCTGAAAGGACAGATGTCCTGTGACCCATCTGTCACATGGTCATCTGGGATTTCTTTTTTTTTTTTTTTACCCTCAAGGGAATGAAATATTCAGAAACCCTGGTACCTTAATTGAATCTTCCAGTTGAACCTAGACACTGATCAATGAGAAAAGATGGATCTCATCCTATCTCTTGCCCAAAGAAGAGCAAGTCCATCTTTGACAACTTTCTCTACTCCCAGGCACTCCTTCCTCCTGTAGGGATATTCCCCAATTGGTAATTTGAGGAGATAGCAAAATGCCTCTGTAGCAGAATGAAGGTGGATAACAATTCCAGGGAATAATAATGCAAATGCCATTTATTGAACATTATCTATTCCACAAGGCACTGTGTGATCTGCTTTTATTATTATTTTTTTGACCTTCAGTTGTTGATAGTCTGAAGGAGAAACACACATAAACAACTACTGTTCAGTGCCAGGAGTACTTATGCAAATGAGCACTCAAGTGGCACAGGTTAACCAACCTCATGGAGTTGTGGAACCTTCCCCAGAGGGGAGACATCAGAGCAAGTCCTGAAGACTGGGTAAAATCAAATATAACATAATAACCTTCCCAATTAGCAGAAGGTATTTTATTGATTTATTTATCGTTAGTTTGATTATTATTTATTTGGAACAGTTAGTATGAGAAAGGAAAAGCCGAAAGCATGAAGAAGTTCAGTCAACAGCTAAAGGCACAAAGTCGGCAATAAGACCAAAGTGCATTTTAACACACATTATGTCATTGAACATTAATAAAGTGATGAGGTAGGAACTACTCTGTTATTTATATGTTATGGATAAAGAGCCCAACATTAAAAGAGAGGGTCAAAGCCAGGGTTTGAACCCACACTTCAGGGCCCTGGAACCCCTCTATTGACTATTGCCCTGAATTGCTACCCCCAAGATGGCGGCACAGCCTCTGAGCACACTGTGCAGGACGTTCCAACAGCCTCAGGGTGAGCCAACAAGGGAGAAGCATACTGATGCAGTTGCTCTGGGAGGGCCCAGACCAACGAGGAGGCCCACATGCTTTGGAGAGTCTTCCAAGCTGGCTTTCAGCACGTGGAAATATCTGGCGTATGTTCTAAGTGAATGAGTAACAACACTCCCTTGGGAAAGAAGCTACCGTGTGTCAATGGAAATCAACTTTGGGAGAGGATGTTGTTATGTCTGTACATCCGAGAGGAAGGCAGTCTTCCTTGGGCATGTGGGAAGATAACTCCATGTTGCAGAGGTCATCTTGGGCAAACACCTCCAGAGTCATGTGGGCAAGGCCTCAGGCCTGTACGGGGGATCAATATGAGCATGTTCACGTGTGCTACAAATATGAAAGGTCAACCCCACCTGATTTTTAGATAATTTTGTCATGTAATAAGAATCCACTCTGTGGATTAATAAAAATGATCTTTTTTGCATCTGTATATCAGTTTACAATTTATAGACACCTGTGGTTGTTACCTTCATTTTGAGCTCTGTGGGGCAGGTCTTGTTATCTTCACTTTAAAGTTGGTGATAGAGACATCCACGCTCACATAATGAGACGTGAGAGTTGTCTTAAGTCCAGTCTCTCCCAGTCCCTTGTGTTAGGCATTTCTTGCTTGGAGGGGGTACCCTGATAAGGGTGGGAGCTGCCACATGCATCCTTCCAAGCTAGAGTCCTGGGGTCAGGAGGAGAGGGATGGATTCATGGGTATGTGAGCCTGGATGGGCCTCCATGAAATCTGTCCTTTTGGGGATCTCACTTTGGGTTCCTCTTCCTCTTGACACTCTCACACAGATCCCATTCTCTGTCCTGAGAAGGTCTGGATATAGGTGGGTGGCTTAGGCTGCCTCTGCCCTTCACTTGCTGAGAAACACTTCTGGCATTTCCTTGGATTCATGTCTCAATGCCTCTTCTTGCCTAGAGATGATAAGGCTTGAATGCCAGAGTTAGAGTATGGGACCAGGGGCCGGGGGGCTGGTCAGCCTGCCTTTGATCCAGGCCACTTAGGTGGGTCTGCGTAGCCTGGGCAAAAGTCCTTGCTGCGATTTACATGTGATCCAGTCCAGTCCAGCTTCCCAAGTCAGGTACCCCTCCAGGATTTAGAGACCCAAACCCCAAACCCTACAGTAAAAAAAAAAAAAACAAAAAAAAACCCAAAAAAACCAGAAACTGATTCTTGTAGGGACCATTCCTATGCATGTCCCTTGTAAACCTGTCTCATTGGCAAGTAACTGGCAAAGGAATGG